CCAAAAAAATCGGAATTCCGATTTTAATCGGAAGAATATCATGTCTGCAAATGCCATCTTATTTGGTCTCGAAGACACCAACAAATCAGACGATATCACCAAAGTTCGCAATATCATAAGCAACTTAAATACAACAAGCATCTCTCCTGAAGATATCATTGAAATAACCAGAGATGGCCCTGGGTACAAATACAATGACGGCTCTATGGCCCCAATATTTTGTAGAGTTGTATGCAAAACTGAGTCCAGCAAACGCATATTCATTCATACAATAAACGCCATTGCAAAAACCAATACCAACCACAAAAAACTTCGCTCAAGACCACACTTATCCATACTGCAAAGAATCTGCTCCTGTGAACTCTGGAAAGAACTCAAAAACTGTGTAGACAATGGAGAAAAGGACCTATACATTGACTACCGAGCTGATTGCATCAAAAGGAAGTCACACAACCCACAACTCCGCATCCAACCCCACCCCATCCAATCCAACATCACTCAAAAGTAGGCAACTAACTACCTCTATTCCAACCACAACTGGCCTTAAATGCAAGCTACTCAATGCAAGAAGCCTTGTAAATAAAATACCTGAATTTCTCCTCTTACTAAATATGGCTAAATTCGACATTATATTTGTCTGTGAAACATGGCTCAACGCATCTCTCCCTGACTCCGTTACCACAGTAAGAGACTATCATGTTTACCAATCAGATCGTGAAATCTGTAGAGGAGGTGGTGGTGCTATCTTCTATAAAAAGTCCCTACATCTAAAAAACATCCAAGTTACCCAGGAGCTTGCTATTCCTGAGACCATCGTCTGTGAACTGTCCTTAAATATCACATTTCGGTTCTTACTATGTTACAGAGCCCCTGATTATGACATCGAACATGCAAACAAGCGAAATACACTACTAACATGGGCAGCATCCTGCCCACACGCTTTTATCTTTCTTGGTGACTTCAATCTACCTCACATTAACTGGACCCTTAACGAATGTACAACTGAACCCACACATGCAACCTTCTACAATGCAGTAACAAATCTGGGACTAGAACAACTAGTAACCAACAACACTAGACTTAACAACTGCCTCGATCTCATCTTCTGCAATAGTTTGAATTCAATTTACGGAATACAAATTAAAGAACCCTTTTCCAACAATGACCACAATATGATAGACTTTTGTCTCAACATACGTCCACACAAAAATCATCACGATGGAATCCCCAATTATAACTTCAAAAAAGGCAACTATGATCTTATAGACAACGATCTCTCATCCCTTGATTGGCAATCTCTATTCACTGGATGCAATACTGTAGAAGACCATTACAACGTATTTTTACTTGAACTCAAGTCATCAAACTATATGTACCATTAACAACTCCCAAAACCAGAAGAAACAAATTACCCATAACAACAAGGAAGCTTCAATAAAAAAAAAAATCACTTTGGCAGAAAAACAAATCTGGTCACATTGCCAACTTCAAAAGCTGACACAAAAATTTATGCCACCAGATAAAAACTGAATGCACCAATTATCACATTAAACAAGAAGAAAACCTATGCACCAATTTCACCCGTGCTTTCTACAATTTTGTAAACAACAAAATAAAAGACTCAAGGTCCATCCCACCCGATAGGACCTAATGGTAAAGACTGCAACGACGACACCATTAAAGCCAACATCTTTAACACATTCTTTGGCTCAGTATTTGTAAACAGCAATGGATCATGCCCAGTATTTCCTAGTCGAACCACAGACAACTACAATGATCTAATACACCTCGATTTTACAGAAGACAATGTTGAAAAAGCACTATGCAATCTAAAACCATCTCTATTTATTGGACCGGACGGAATATGTGCCTACTTCTTAAAAAAGCTATCCACTGCCATAGCCAAACCTCTAAGCATAATCTTTGAAAAATGTTTCTGGACCAGCTCCTTGCCAAAACTATGGTCACAAGCCATGGTCATCCCCATCTTCAAAAAGGGAGACCCCAGCCTAGTTGAAAATTATAGACCAATCTCTTTATGCTGCGTCACCTGTAAAGTCATGGAATCAATTATTAACCAATCCATCATCCTCCACTTAGAAACAAACAACCTACTCTCTAATAAACAATTTGGTTTCAGGAAAAAACTATCCTGTAATCTGCAACTCTTACACTGCAAAAACATATGGACTACACTAGATCAGGGTAAAGCAATAGACGCAATCTACATAAAATTTTGTAAAGCCTTTGATTCAGTGGTACATGACAAACTACTCCTAAAACTAAAATCTTACGGTATCTCTGAACACCTTCATAACTAGGTAGAAGCATTCCTGTCAAACAGACAACGAATGGTCAAAATTGGGAGCGTCCTATCAAATTCTGTACCTGTCAACAGTGGTGTCTCCCAAGGCAGTGTTCTAGGACCAACTCTTTTCATACTCTACATAAATGACCTCTGTGATCATATCGAGAGCAACTGCGTTCTCTTCGCTGATGATGTAAAGCCATTCAACACAACAGACAATATTGCTACCCTTCAAAAAGACCTTGACTATGTATCAGAATGGTCAAGCAAATGGCAATTTCAAATCTCAACAAATAAATGCTCTGTCTTACATATTGGCAAAAAAAAAATCAGAAAATAAAATACAGGCTGAATAGTCAAGACCTTGTTGATGATCCAAACTCTGTCAAGGATCTTGGAGTACTCATCTCTAATGACCTAAGTGCTAGAGCCCACTGTAACTACATAGCCAAAAAGGCGTTAAGAGTTGTTAACCTAATCTTACGTAGCTTTTTCTCTGGTAATATTACACTAATAACTAGAGCATACAAAACATTTGCTAGACCAATTCTCGAATACATCTCATCAGTCTGGAACCCACATTACGTATCTGATATTAACACAGTTGAGAAAGTCCAGAAATATTTCACAAGAAGAGTTCTTCACTCCTCTACTCGTTGCAGAATACCTTATGCCACCAGACTCGACATTCTAGACCTAGAAAACCTAGAACTACGCTGCCTTCGGTCCGATCTAAATATAGTATATAAAATCATACATTGCAATGTTCTACCTGTCAATGAATACTTCAGCTTCAACCATAACAACACAAGAGCAAACAGCATAAGCGCACCAACGTGCCTACCGTCCCTGTCATATTGTTTCTTTTGTTTTTTTATTTTTCTTTTATGTATCCATGTATTCATAACTATGTTTTTACTTATACCTATTATCTTGTAAGCAATTGACAAAAATAAATATTTTTTTTGATGAAAGTATCAGATCCTGAAGACACCTTTGCCAACAATTATTTTAAAAAGTCTGAACTAATAGTTGTGACTACATGTTGCTAAGAAATAGCCTACTGCAAACAAGCCAATTTATCAGGAAAAGGTCTACTATTGCAGCAAGGAAAATACAGCCACAGTAAGAGGTTGTCATATGTGACAGGAGTCTTCAGCAAAACCACCTCTGCAGAAATCAATTCCCCAAGAACTAGAATGCTTCTTTTCACTTCAATATAACCAACACTAAAATAATCTGTTTTGCTGTGAAATGCCCAAGCCATACTGACCTTATAGATAGATAACTTCTACTGTAATTTTTTTTTACTGTGAGCACACTGGCCCACATTAAAAATGAAATTCTGTTGCCTGCTCTCGGATACCACAAAGCCTCCTCCCAGAAGGTAACAAGGAAAACAGATTGTGAAGAGGAGATATAGTGCCCCAGACAATCCTGCGGACTCTGCTCAAGCATCACTTATATGCTATGTCTTGGATAGAAGGAAGTGAACTACCAATTATCTTTTCTGGAATCCTCACCACTCTCTACACTGCCTTCCTGTCTGAAGCAGTAATGCTTCCAAACCAGGCAGTAATGCAATATGACAGGATGCTCTCAATTGTCCCTATATAGAAAGTGGTAAGGACAGAGGAAGATGAACTTTTCTCACGCGATGCAGAAAATGCAGGCACTGCTATGCCTGCTTCACCAGTGTCTCACTGTTGAGTGACCAAGCTAGTCTACTCATTAGCTGCACACCCAGAAACTTGATGCGGCTAACCACCTCCACAGGTCAATCATTTATACATAAAGGTTTGTGGCTGTTGCCTGCCTTTTTTGAAATTGACAATGACCTCTTTAGTTTTTCCTACATTTAAAATGAGGCTGTTTTTGTTACACTAGTTCACTAAACCCCCACCTCCTTGTAGTAAGCATCCTCATTGTCATCTTGAATAAGGCCCACTACTGTTGTATCATTCGCATAATTCACAATATGGTTGGTGGTAAACCTAGCACAGCAGTCATAGGTCAACAGAGTGAACAATAGTGGACTTAGGACACAGCCCTAGGAGAACATGTGCTCAAGAAAATGGTGTTAGATATATTAATCCCAACTCGCACATACTGGGGCTTATCAATAAGAACGTCAAGAATCCAGTTGCACAAAGGAGTATTAAAGCCTAAAAAGCCCAGTTTGTCTACAAAATGCTGAGAGATGATTGTATTAAATGCTGAAGTCAACAAACAGCATTTGCATGAGTGTTTCTTTCCTCTAAGTGTGCCAAGCTCAGATGGAGAACAGAAGAAATAACATCTTCTTAGAGCAATTTGGAGGGTAAGCAAACTGAAGCGAGTCAAATGTTGGAGGGAGACTGGATACAATAATGTCCTTCATCAGTTTCTCAAAACATTTGATTATGATGGATGTAAGTGCAACTGGATGGTAATTATTGAGATCCGTAATTGTAGACTTTTTTGGCACTGGCAAAATAATGGCCATCTTAAAACATGATAGGACAGAGTGTATTTACAAAGAACATTCAGAGCCTCATCTCTGCACAAGGAGGAATATAGCCAGCTGTAATAATGATAACAGAACATTTCCTAGACAGATAGAACGGTCTTTATTTGGGAGGAAGGGGGTGGTGCTGCGGCGGAGTGGGGAGAGAACAGCAAGCTCTGCTCTCGCATCCCCAATCTGCGTGTTCAGAGGCCCCAGTGAGGGCACGTAGATCCTGGAGGGGGAGACGAAGGTGTGAGGAAGCCTGAGGAGAAGTTTGACGGTGGTGGCGGTTGACAGCTTCGAGGGAGACCCCATTTGCTGCAACGTGTGAGTGATCTGCCATCTCGATGGCAGACCATAGCTGCGGCGCCTTAACCCAGTGAGGAAGACACCAGAGCAGGAACAGCATTTTTGGCTTCAATTGACAGATCAGATTGGAAAGTGAAGAAGACGGAAAGTGAAAGTCGAGGAGAGATGGCAGAACTGTGAGTCTTATAAAAGCGGACAGAAGTCCGAATGGAAATGGGAATCCGGTGATGAAAGCCAGGAACCTTTAAGACAAGATTGAAGCTGACTTATTTGATTAAAGATTGATTGTGTTCTGGACTTGTTCTGATAAATTTGGAGTTGGTTTAGACTGACTATTCAAGAATTTGGAGTTTAATTTGATGGACCTGTGGCTTGTAAAGGAAGAAGAATGGTGAAAAAAGTAAGAAACAAGAACGGAAGTGACATTTTGAGACTATACAGAAAAGAGAAGCTGATGCAACAGACTGTGACTAAACAAAATGTGAACGGACAGGAAAAGGAAAGCGAATGAACAATATTGGACCTTTTTCTACAGATCATAATTACTGAAATAATACTTTGATTAAGGTTTGATTGAACATATTAGGAACTTAAAAACTGCATATTAGGAATTTAAAAATCTAAATGTGAGAAGATTGATATTATCTTGTTTATTGATTATTAATAACTAATGAAATAAGGTTATATATATAATAGAATCTAGATTTGTTTAACTTTATATTTTAATATCTATTACTTGTTTAAAAGAAATTCTATATGAATTCTATAACTAAGGATAAAGAATATAGCTGACATATTATAATATAGTAACATAACATAGTTGTACAAGAATAAGTTATAGCATATCTATCTATCTATCTATCTATCTATCTATCTATCTATCTATCTAT